ACATTAATTTTCGAATCAGTGACAACTTCAAAAATGTAAGCTTATTAAAAATCAGAGAACTCAAGTTGTGATAAAGTACACTGAGCTACCAGTCATGACTCTACTGGACCAGTCACTGAAGCATTGCAATGAACTCTTAATTTGAACAATATAAATTTTGACCTTACAAAAATCAGTTCTTACAAGTGTGCGGTGTTATTTCTTAAAATGCAAGTGTTCTGAGGATTGGAATGAAGCTTATTTGCATGTTACACTACATAGGTGAAATTAATTCAGGTGTTTAAGTATGCAAGAACTTTATGATTTAGTGGTGTCATCCCAAAATCCTCTTCCACACAGCAGTCACTTGGATTCAGTGATTGCATTCACTGATTTTACTTACTTTGTTCTCCAAGGGCAACAGTGACAGATGGTTAATGATGAGCTCCTACCAGCCTTGCTTTGAGTAGGGTCTTCGGTCTGTCTACTCAAACACCTCCCATTTTGTGATCTCACTTATCAAGTGTGGGTTTTATGACTGACATGGCATGCAGACGTCTGTCACATTAACACTAGTTACCTATCTATATAATTTCTTTTATTTTGAGGTCTGAAGTAAATCCTACTGGGCAAGGTGTTGCTGGTATTAAGTACTTCTGTGTTAAAAGCCTTCTCAACACAGCTATACCAACAGGACTACACTGCTGTTTCGTAATGACAGACCTCCTTTACTCTATGCCATCTGACAGGCTTGAATGGGAGTACTAGTAAAGAGAAGGACTGTAGCACACATAGCTGGCTTTTTATTTTCTTCACAGATGTTTCATTTTTGCAAGACTTCCATGTTTACTGCAATCTATTTCATGTTGACAGAAACATTTCTGCCTGTCTGGATGTGGGTGCTATATGTAGAGCATTCTCAGACTCTCAGAAACAAGGATCAGAGTTAAAGATCAAGTCTTACAGTAGTACAGAAGGCTATTAAATTAGTATTTCAGAGAGTAAAATGAAACAGGTACCAAGGCCTGAATGCATGGCTGATCCCTGCTGCCCACCTACTAAGCACAGATGCAAAGCGCCTTTGTAAACAGCATTTTCCATAACTTGCAGAAATACTTGGTCATACAGTATATTTACGTGCCATTTTATAATGAAACCTTGTGGGCCACTGCACCAGATATTCCCACACTCTTGCATCAAATGATGTAGTAAACATACTTTTATAGAGAAGAATACAATGCATTATACATATATACAATGCATGAACTTTACTGGTAGGAACTCAACGTATATTATAATTACTTCAACTAAGGAGCTACTATCACAAAATAAGCATCAAAAATTCCATTAAAGTAACAACTGCAGAGTTACTATGCAACCAACTCTACATTGCTTTTTTGTTCTACCTTCTTTGCATTCTTGGCTCCTCTCCGTTATAAACTGATTATGGCACAGCTTACTTTGAATTCTCTATAGTAACTGCCTATGTCATCTAACATCTTCAACACACTTTTTTCCATTATTCCCCCCCAAAGCCTGGACACTTCAGTATTGCCAATCTATTGTCTCAAAGGTGCTGGGAATTTTGACAGAGGCAAACCGAATTCTAAACAAAATATGACAAGTAAATACTAAGCCTCTCTCTGGGCAAAGGCAATGAATTCTCACATTGGGTCATTCTAAGGCAGCATTACTTAATCTATACTACATGTCTTTCCAACTTGTTCTTACATTTCAATCCAATTCTGTTTTTTCTGGGAGAATTTCAGAATTTTTTTCCTGCTGTAAAGAGTCCCTAAGACTCTAGAGTACAAGTCTAACCTGATGATTATGGGTTGCACAACTACCAAAGAGATTCAACAAGCAGCTGTAACCACTGATAAATCCTTGGGCTTTAGGTGCTGACTCTGACTCACAATAGTCAAGAAAACAGGATGAGTAGCATAACAAGGTTTAACAATCCCCTGGTCTGCAAGGTACATTTGCTATAAAGTGACTCTAAGTTATTTATATCCACAAGGACTATAACCAATTTTAGATTTTGCAGACAGTAAGCATTAAAAATAACTTTTTATAACTATCTTGAGAGCTGATTTTAAGTACTGCAACAGATTAATAAAATATAGCAATTTCTTCCCTACTTAGCAATTTATAAAATATAAATATTTTTGCAGAACACTTAGTGGACGTACATAACACCAACTGCTCTATTTATTTGGTTCCTCACATAAATTCTTTTTAAAATATAAAGGAGGCTTAACACTGTTGTCCTGTAATTGTGTGTTTAAGGCAGGCAGGCTACAATATGTTCAAAGGAATGCTGTCACTAGCCTACCAAACTACCTTGTTCATATAAAATAGATTTCAATTTAGATGCAAAGTAATTTCAATAGCTTGGAGCCATTAGAATTTTACTGGGAGCTGGTTATAAGGACTTTCAAGGGGGTGGGGCGTTCCCTTTCTAGGAGACATGTTATCAGCCACTGATTCCCAGGACCACTATATCTTACAGCACTCACTGGGGTGGCAAAGCAACCAAATCTAATCACAAAGTTAAAAAAAAAAATTCTCATATAGGTATTTCTTCTTCAGTTGTGAAACTGCAGCAAAAATAATGCTGTTGTCAGTTACAGTATCCTTTGATACTGGAGACTGCCATATATCAGTTTCTAAGACAGCAGCATCTTTTGCCTCAGCAATTATTTTCTTCTAAGTTCTTCTAAGTCAGATACACTTGAAATTTAACAGGAGCAAAACCTGTTAAAAAACTTCTTAGATGGAACACCTCTGTTTCAGTGTAATCCCTCAGAAAAGGTAGATACAGGGTTGTCACTGCATGACTCAGTAACTGAGGTTAAGAACACAACTGCCCTTATGGAAACTGGAAGTCAGTCTGAATACAGAAGACACATGGACCACTGCAAGGTCTCCAACTACACTTGTTTAACAGTCTTGTGCTCCTCCTTGGTCACCTTTACCCAGCTCTGCCTTATCCTCACAGTCACATCCCTCCCTGCACCACTTCCCCATGCCCATCCCTTCCCCTTGATAGCCAATTTCTATGGGTTATTTATCTCAAGAGCATGTAACCACAGGTGACAGAGGTTACAAAGAATGCACAGCTAGGACACATTCCAGTTTTCATTTTCATGGCTAAATATTCTCTACTTAAGGTCCAAAAAAACCAACATTACAACACTGTCAAAGAACACACAACACAAAATACTTCACCTTAGAATGTTTGTAATCTTTCCCTTCCTCAAATTCAAAAGAGCACTAAAAAGCAAAGACTAAGACAAGGATCTTGCAGTAGTGAAGGAGTACATTCACTATCTAGCATCACAGTTTATTTAACCTCACAGTTGACCTCTCATGCAGTAGACTGAAGGCTTGTTTTGATCTTTTTGTGCAACATTATGTCATATTCTCTTATTTCTACAGAAAAGAATAAAGGGTAAACATGACTAGCACTATCAATCCATAAAATTTCTACCATTTGGAGGCTTCCACAAAAAATGTTTGACAAACTGTCATGCAAGAGCAGACAGAAGGATTTAAATTCACATCAGAGATTGACATATCAAACAGTTGTTCTTCATTCTGTTAAGAATGCTCAGTTTCCCAGGACTTAAATGTTAAGGTACATGCGATTAGATTAATAAGTCAGCTGAAAAGAAGAGGATTTTTAATTAAGAAACCAGTTATAATCACTCTTAATTATCCTGAAAACTAACAGAAGAGCAGTATCTTCTCCCAGTCCAGCCCCTCTCTCAGGAGCTCCTCTCTTTTCAGTTTAACTTTCAGTGGAAAAGACAAAGAACAACTTATAGTTTTATGTTCAGATCTCTCTATAACCTATCTCCAGACACTGGAATGCCAGCAGAAGCACGTATCACTTACACTTGTGGAAGTGTAATGTTTTGCAGTGCAGAATGCAAGTCGTTTTCCGATAAGAACTGGAAATTCAAACGTAAAACAAAACATCAGGAACATTCTGAATGTGAAAAAAAAAAATCATTTTGGCAATCTTTCTGGCAGGCTGGTTTGGGGATGCCACAAAACAAACACACAGATCGATCTCCAGGTGACTCTTGGGATACCTATGGCCCACTTAACATTTACATTTAAAGACTCAATTAAGGGGAAGGAGCTGAAGCTATTAACTTCCATTTAAAAGAAACCCAAAAGCAAACACCAAATCGCTTACCTAACCAAATAGGTGAGTATTGAAAGGCTCTTTTATTTGGGCAACTTAATAGCATTTCTCCTTTGCGTTTAAAGCAAACACAAGCTCTAGTTACCAGCAACTATAGAAAAGCCCAGCACATGAAACTGGGCAGCAATTAAATGTTACAGAAACCCTGCTCTTACTCACTCTAGAACCGCAGAACCCACATACACGTATAGGGTCTCCGGCACCCGGCCGGGGCAGGAATCGCAGCTGCAGCCGCCGCTCGGTCCCGCCGGGCCGGTGGGTGAGCGCCCCGACCCCCTTCCCCGCTGGCCCCACGGCGCGGCCCCTTTGTTCGGGGTGCAGCCCCGGCCGCGCCCCGCCCTCCGCAGGTACGGGCGGTGCCCGCCGCCGCCCCGCAGCCCCAGGGACCCGCACCCGCCCCCCGCCGCAACAGGCGGCCGGACCCCGCCGCCCCCTCCCCGCTGTTCCCCGCGCCCCGGAGGGCTGCGGCCGGAGGTCGCCAAGGTCGACGCCCGTAACCTTCAGGGAGCGGCCACCGGGCCCCCGCAGGAGGCTCGGGGCGCCGCCCGCCCGTCCCCACACCCTGGGGAGGGGCCGGCAGGCGCACACGGCCGGCGGGGCGGCAGCCGCACCCCGACACCAATCCCCGGGCGGCGCAGAGCCGCCGGGCGCGGAACCGCCGTAAGCCGCCGCCCGCACGGCGGCTTCCCCGACGCCGGAGAGCTGCCCCTGCGCGGGCGGAGCCGGTTCCCTGCGTTCCCCCCGGCCCCGGCGGCCGCGGTGGCGGCGGCCTCACCCCGGCCCGGCCCGCGCGCCCCCGGCTCACCTGCGGCGGTGGTGCCGGCGGCGCGCGCTCCGCTGCCCGCCCGAGGAGCGCGCGGGGAGGGGCGGGGCGCGCGAGGTGAGGCCCTGGCACCGCCCCCGCGCGCACGGCCGGCGGCGCGCGCGGCCCGGGGCGGAGGGCGGGCCCGGCCGGGCCGGGGCGGGCCGGGGCGGAGAGCGCCGCCGCAGGGGCCGCAGCGTCGTCACCGGGCGCGGCCCCGCCGCCCCCGCTCCGCGGGCGGGGCGCGGTGTCAAGAGCCGGGGCGCGCAAGCGCAGTGCCGGCCAAGGCTGAGCGGAGCGGAGCGTGGCGGCGCGGCGCGGCGCGGCGCGGGCGGGCGGGCCGGCCCGGTCACCGGTGCGCGCGAGGGCGGGCCCGGTCCCGGTCCCGGAAGGAGACGACTGCTTCCGTCGGAGGCGCGTGCGGGGCCGGGCCGGGCGGGGCGCGGTGGGGGTGGGCAACGGGCGGGCCGGGGCGGGGCCGGAGCCTGTCCCGGGAGGGCTATTCCGGTGTGGGGCCGTGTCCCGCTTGTCCCGCGGCTCCGCAGCCCCGAGCCTGGAAAGGAACCGGCTTTCCTTTCCCGCTTCTCCTCCTTTATTTCAGCCGAAACTCTTAAGGGAGATAGTGAGAAAACATTGTAGCTCGATGTCTGTCCCTCCTTCCCCCCAGCTAATCCCCCATCTGGAGAATAGAGGAGGCGTGTCCTGCCATGGTAAGGAGATAAATTCCCGACATCTGTCGCTAGGTTTATAAACACAATTATTTTTAGTGGAGCTTTCCTTAGGGCATAAATGTAAGCTGAGAAAGCATTTAATATACTGAGTTTAAAGAAAATGGTCACTGGCAGAAGGGAACATGAAGCAGTGATCTTCTTAAGAGTTTCGGGTATTTTTTTTTTTTATAGTAATGGACCACTCCATGCATGGAGAATTTTATAGATGCCAATATGGAGAGTTTCCGTGTTAATTACAATAATTCAAATAATTATAACAAGAGTGCCTTAATAACTGTATCCTTTACTGCTAAATTGCGGGCATAAAAGGGAGCTTTGTGCAAACAGAACATGATTTAAACGCATAATGTAAGTGATGTAATGAAACCTAAGCATAATATGCTTATATCAAAACTGACTGCTCAGTGTGCATCTTTGTTTTTCGCACTGTAACCATTCCGAGACAATACAAATTGTTTTGAAGCATCCCCTCCTCCATGTAATAGTTTGGCTGAAGGTAATTTCTCAGTCTCGAAATTCCAGATTTTATCACCTTGGATGGAAAACTTTAGCCTCGGTGTTCACCTCATGGAGCCACTGCGCTTTGCTTGCAAAGCGGGTGTGCTATAAAATTTTCATGGTTGTTTTCTGTGCTCTGTTTTCTGAAATTTTTGACATCTTGACATTCTGACATAATTTATCCAGTGTTTAGTATATATTCCTCTAGAATTTAGTTTTGTTTGCCTCACATTTTAGTATGAGCTAATTTTTGCAAATTCTGTAGAGTCTGAGAAACTGATAGCAATCCAGATGCAATTCTGATTAAAATATCAAAATATGTCCATTTGCATAAAGAAATTTGGATTCTGTTAAATGGAGAGGGTGGGAAAAAAGGACAAGAGTAAAGGAAAGCTGGTAACAGAGAGTCAACCAAATGTCCAAAAGAAAACACAAAACATTTTTGATTTTTCATGACAGGGAAAAGTTTTCATGGTATCTGTGATGAGACTTTTCAAGAGACCATGAAAAGGTTGGATGAGTCTTTGCATGATTGTGTAAAAATAATGATTCAGGAGTCCTCAAGAAATCCTGGCCCAACTTCTGCAGCCCTTTGAGTATCTCTGTGCTGTATTACTTTTTAATACTTATTCCAGAACCCTTCTGTTGCAAGAGTGGGTGAGTCGTAGTTAAGATTTCATTAATACTGATGTCTGCAGCCATTTAGTTCTTCCTTATTCTTTCAATACTAGAGCTAGTACAAAATAAATTTTGTCCTGTAAGACATATAGTATACTTATCTGGATGTTGGTAGCAGCTGTTTCATTCTCTGGAAATGTCCCTTTGCATAGATTGGTTTGAGTTGGAAGAGACCCTAAAGATTATCGAGTTACAAACCCCCTGTCAAGGACAAGGATGATTCTCGTTAGACCACATTGCTCAGAGCCCAATCCGGCCTGGCCTTTAACACTTCCAGGGATGTGGCATCCACAACATCTCTGGGCAACCTGTTCCAGTGCCCCACCATCCTCAAAATAAAGAATTTCTTCCTAAGATCTAATCTAAATCTAATTTTTTAGTTTATAACCATCTTCCCCTTGTCCTAACACTAATATGCCCCTATAAGACATTGCTCTTTACCCTTTAGGTATTGGAAGGCCTAAATGAGCTCTTCCCAGAACCTTCTCTACTCCAGGCTGAACAACCCGAGCTCTCTCAGTCTGTCTTTGTAGGAAAGATGCTTCAGTACTCTGACCATTTTTGTAGCCTCTTCTGGACTCTCTCTAACAGATCCACATATTTCTTATGCTAAGGACTCCATACCTGGACACAGCACTCCTCTTGGGATCCCATGAGGGCAGAGTAGAGGGGGACAATCACCTACCTTGATTTGCTGGCCACCCCTCTTTTGATACAGCCCAGGATTTATTGAACTTGAGGTTCCTATAGACCCACTTCTCAAATTTGTCTGCCTGGATAGGATGCCTTCCTTCTGTTGTGCCATCTGCACCATTCAGCTTCACGGCTTCAGACTTGGTGGGGTGCACTCAATCCCACTGACAGTGTCATTGATAAAGGTATTAAAGAGCCCTGGTACCAAGACAGGCCCCTGAGGGACACAAATCATCACCAGCATCCACCTGGACATAAGAGCACTGACCACAACTCTGCCTGCATCCATTCAGCCAATTCCTAATCCACTGAATATCCCATCCATCAAATCCATGTTTTCAATTTGGAGATAAGGATGTCATGTGGGACCGCCTTACAGAAGGACTTACAGAAGTCTATGTAGTTGACACCTGTTAGTTCTCCCTTGTCAGCTGTTGCTGTCACTCCATCGTGGAAGGCCACCAGATTGGTCAGACATGATTTGCTCTTAGTGAAGCCATGCTGGCTATCTTGGATCATCTCCTTGTCTTGTATGTGCTTAACATTGTTGCAAGAGTATCTCCTCCAGAGAGCAGATTCTTTCTTCCCAGGAAAGAGAAGGTTTCCAGTATATGGTTATATAGTTATATACAGGTACATAGTTCCCTGGATCTCCAGTATGTGCTTCCCTGGGTCTTCCTTTCTCCTCTTTCTAAAAATATGTTTCTCTTTTTCTAGTCACTGAGGACTTCACCTGACTGCCATGGTTTTCCAAATATGGTGTAGAGTAGCTTGGCAACAACATCGGTCAGTTCCCTCAGGACCCTGGGATGCATTTTATCAGAGCCCACAGGCTTGTGGCTATTCAGCTGCATCAGGTGGTCTTGAACCTGCTCTTCACTTTACAGTGGAATGGACTTCATCCCCATTATGCACCATGCTGTTTGTTATGAATGTGGTCTTTGTCCTTTTATCTCTCTTTAGAGCTATCTTAAGACAAAAAAATTATTTTGAATTTTTGTTTTGTGGCCCAAACTGCATGTTGTAATGCAATGAAACAGTTTATAGTATACCCTTCATTTTTTGCTTGGATGAGTCCCTTGGCACCTTACCTAAACCGAGTGGAAAAAATGAGCTCTTTAACCCAAAACTAGAAGAAGTATTTCCATGAAATTGCACATGAATATTCCTATTCAATTGCTAACGAGTGATCATAGTGAGAGCATCTCTGGAGCACCTGGAATATTTTATGGCATGACTCTGGCTCCTCAGTGTAAGAGAGAAACTGGTCAAAGGAGAGTAGGTATTGCAACTACTTCACTCCCATGACTGTATAAGAATTTAGGGTTCGCAGCCCAAGGCAACAAGAGTTTTGAATGGCACTCTCTCTGGTGTTTAAATGCTGCAACAGGTACCTAAAACCATACAGGCAGTGTAGTAGACATTTGCAATGTGGCTATAAAGGGTGTAGGTAATGAATGTTCTTTGTTATGCATTAACATATGTGCCAGTAAAGCTCTGCATATAAAATTCTTGAAGGGAAAATTATGAAGAATAATTGGGTAATTAATTGTGTGCTAGTAGTAGTTGCATTATGTACCTTAATACAATTGAGAAATCAACTGACAAAGATTTAATTTATTTTAAAAAGCTAATACAGTGGACATATCAGACAAAGCATGTCCAAATCTTTGGGAAAAACATTGATGTGCAGCTTCCATTCCCATAGAGCAAAAAATACTTGTTTCCTTTAGTTTAGCACACATTTAGTAGCACACAATTTATATTTAAAGTATGCATAATTTAACACTGTAATTTTATCTTAGATTTCTGTTGACATGAATAAATGAACCACATTCTTTGGAAAACCATCTTATCATGCATAAAACATCCATTCTTCCTTCAAGTGCTCAATAAATCTTCCATGGTGAGAGAGACTTAATTTTATAAATGGACAAAAGAGAAAATGAACAAAACCACTTACTGGTTCTTGAGGGTACCCTCCTATTTCAGTCCAGAATTGATTACCCCAGCATCTGCTGGGTCTGTGGGTGTGTAGGTCTTTGTGTTGTGAAGTATTGCTGAACTGCAATCAATACATGGAGGTAGGATTTCCTGGTATTATGGTTAATTTCTTCTCTTTTAGGTTGGTAGTACAACTGTATTAAAATTTATTAGACAACATTTTATTACCAATGTGTAAGGATGCATAAAATGTATTTGTGAATTGATAGAGTTTCTAAGCAGCAGGCCAGTTGAAAAGAAATCACCCAGCCCAAAACCACATGCATTCTGAGGAGAATGAAAGAGCTAGAAGCTTTTATCCACCTTCAGTTTGTACCAGTTGTGAGAAAACATAAGTAACAATGAGTGAAGAATATGCTAAACAATTACTTGGCTGATTATTAACATACTCCTCAAGTTCATAACTTTGTGTGCTTTTCTCTGCTTCTGTGTAAGGGACAGGTTTTAAGGACGTACTACTCTTGAGGTACATAACTGGCATGCCCAAGGGCAGATTTGGGAAGTAGCTCCCACTTCACACAACCAAGAGTGATAGCTGCTGTGAGGCAGTGGTACATCTACTGGTGGGGGGGTATGGTCAGATCTCCCTCAGAGTGTGCCTGTTTGTCTCTGAAA